AAATTAAGTTATGATTGGGAGGTAATCCCACTAACTTAATTAGGGGCCAATTGGGCCCTTAATAGGGTTGAATTGGCCGAATTGAGCAGCCAATTCAGCCCCTAAAAATATGGTCGGTGATGGCACCGCTATGGCAGACGGTGGCACCACCTAGAAGGTAGTGCCCCAGGATTTCTGGGCGGTGGTACCGCCCAGACTAGGTGGTGGTACCGCCGGCAGTGAAAGCTGCCAGCGGTGGTACCACCTAGTGTTAGATCAACAACGGTAGTACCGCCCAATAACAGTGGTGGTACCGCTAGTACCCCAGAATCCGAGGATGTAACGCTTTTTTGCTTCAATTTTGAAGTCATTGGAGCCTATAAAAATCTCACCCTTTTCTACATGAAATGGCACGAAAGCATTGGCATAATCTTGAATTCTTGAGTCTTAAAAGTGTTGTAAAAGTGAGAAGAGTTCTTTTCCTTCATCTCTTAGTCTTGTAACCATCCAAGAAAGAGAAGTGAGACTTGTAAAGGTTGTCTCCTACACTTGGGAAAAGGAGAAAGCGTTGTAAAGAGGTGGTTGGCCTTCGCGTATTGAAGGAAAGTCTTTAGTGGATGCCAGTGACCTCGACGGAAGAGGAATCCGAAAGTGGATGTAGGTCACATTGACCGAACCACTCTAAATTCTGGTTTACTTTTCATTTGTATAATTTACATTACTACAAATCTCCTTAATCTTCTCTTGTTTTTTTACTAAAGCTTTCAAATTCAATTTCTTTTCGAAACAGATTGAATCAAAACCATTTTCATTGGAATCAGTTTTAATCGAAACAAAGACTTTTGAAATTGAAAAAGTTTTCCGTTGCACTAATTCACCCCTCCTCTTAGTGTCGCTCTTGATCCTAACACTTTTATCATTTTATATTCAAAAAATTATTATTCCTTAAATCACTAAATAACTTAATGAAGGTGAGCAATAAATAACATTAATAAATTATTATAAAATATTAATATTATTGTTGATGACTTGTAGAATAACCATAATCGATAATTTTGAAAAAATCTCAAAATGAAAGGGGACATAATAAGTATGTGATATATTTATAAGAATTATATTATGATATAAAAATCAAAATGATTCCTCATTATGTTCATAAGTTATGAAAAATGATAATTTTGAAAAATGGTACGATACAATAAAAGAAGAGTTAAGATACTAGAGTAGCATCTGATCACAGGTCAAATTAGCTAATAATTGTGAAAGAGTTTGTTATATATGAATCTTTAAGAATAAACATAACTTAAGAGTTATATCAAATAATATAAAGTTAGACTTATGGTTAATGGTTTTACTAATAAAGAAAGCATTAACCATAACGAGATATTTTTTCTATATTTTTTAAAGAACTTGTTAAGAATTATCATAATATTAATGACTTATTATGATTTTGAGTTATATTTGATGAATGTGAAAATAACTTTTTTGAATGAAAATTTAGGTAAAAAAAATTATATGAATTAACCTAAACAATTTATAAAGAAAAAAATAAAATTTGGTACATAAATTTAAAAAATCTATTTATAACCATCAATAAGTTTTTACATAATAGTATATAAAGTTTCATGATACCATTATTTTCTTTAGATTTAAGAAAAATATTATTAATTAGTATTTATATCTAAAAATCAGTGAAAATACTTATTATATTATTCTTGTACGTGGATATTAATTTGTGATATTGGTTTATTGCATGAAATTAAAAAATTTTCACATGAATTTTAATATAATTAATATAATTGAGATAACTTATCTTATTGACATAGAGATACTTAGGATACATCTCATTAATTGTTAAGATTATTTAAGAAAAAAATTATTAATCAAATTTTAGAGAGATTTAATATATAGCTTTGTTAATCAAATAACAAAAGTGTAAGATTTAATCAAAGCTAGTGTTTTCTAAAATTTGACTTAGAAAAGAATCAAATAAAAAACACATAAAAAAAATATTTCATGTAGTTGAAAGTCTATTATATGCTCAAGTCTATTACAAGTATTTAGGAATTAAATATTAGAAAATTATAATAAAAAAATATAATAAAAATATTTACAAGGGATAAAGGACTATGCTCATATATAGGAAATTAGATCAATTTAAAATAATAATATTTTTAAATTACCTCGATGGTAAAAAATCCATTTTATGAATTATATTTACATTAGTTGGAAGAACAATTTACAAGAATAGTATAATGCAAATTATATTATTAATAGTAGAAACTGATTTCATGGTATTCTTTGAGGCTACTAATCAAAATTTATGCCTATGAAATTTCATCTCAAGACGTGGTGTGGTTAAAGATAAGTCGTTGAAGATATTTTATGATATATCACAATCGCTTTCTTCTTTAACAATGATAAATAGTATAGTAGTTCTAAGCCTATTAGCATACATTATTTGGTGGTTAGAGAAATAGTCTAGAAATAACTATTGTCAAATAAGAACATAAGTATCACTGTATTAATTACTGACCTGAGGCCTTACGATCTAAAGTATTTGAAAAATATAACTTTATGATCGAGATTATGAGTAACCCATAAAGATATAATGATGCATGTTTGAGTGAATACTATTATTGATATTCTTGTTTATGTAATTAAAGTTACTTATTTTTATTTTCCTATTTACATTTATATATATTATGATTGAATATGAATAATAAAATTATCTTAATAAAATAAAATATAAGGGTCATTTTAGATTATATTAGGAAAGACTAATAGTGTTGTAGTATATAGAAGAAAGTATGACAATGATAAAAAAATAACTAATATGACTTACATTATTAGTTAGACTTAATAGAATATTATTATATTTATTAGACTTATTAGTACGTTTTTAAATTCGTGTGCATATAAATGATTTTTAAAATTTTAGAATCCAATAGAGCAAAACTATTTTTAAATATATTTTATTTTTTTTATTTTAATTTTGAACTCTTTTATATTTTACTAATTAATTAGATAAGTTAGATAATGTTAGATTCTATGATCTCATCTAATTAATTAAGATATATTATATATCTAATTAGATTCTAATTACGAACATCGATCAATAAAAAAATTAATTATGGTAATATTCATTCGATGATAACCTTGATGAAAAGAACTCTCATAATTATTTTTTATAGACCTTTTACTCTTGTTTATATATAGACAAAACCTTATAGGGACCTATCATGATCTTAGACTCTTTTCTCTTATCTCCCAATTATTTTTTCTATTCCATCAATTACAGTTATTCTGAAAATAGGAAGAAAGGAGAATGAGAGTTTAGTTTATTTCCTGTGTAACTTCACGACATCCAATATACCCTATTGATTATCATGTTCAAAATGTATGCACATTTTATCTTAGATCTATGATGCTTGATTTCAATTTTGATATTAATTTTTTATATAATAATTTTATATTTTACACTCCTCTTTAGAAAGAAATAAGAAGATTTTATGGGTCGTACGTAAGTTCTTGACAATTTAGTTGACTATCTCATTTCTTTCCTTACGTATATTGAAATCACAAATATATCAAAACTTACTTTGGAGTGAAATCACAAATATATCAAAACTTACTTTGGAGGAGGACGCAAATATCATGTATTAGGAGAAGGCACTAAGGAGGAGGTGGGTTCCTCTTCCTATCTTCACCGATATTCCTAAATTTAGATTTCATATAGATGTGAGAATAAGCCATCCGTCATCGCTAGTTTGAGTCCATCCCCCACTACAGCAACCTTACAAGATATTCCACTGCTTCGCCATTGTGCTTGCAACAAAAAAATAACATTACTAGCATTGTATCTTAGAACAAATCCTAAGCACCCTATCTGATCATACTCAAGAGGTCCATCACAGTTCAGTTTTTTCACCCATCCTTTTTTGGGGTTTAAGTCACCTAGCCTACCATCGTATACCTTGCAGATTAATCATCATGTAGTTTTAGCCTGATCACTAGTCAAGACTAAAGCTACAGCCTCACGAAAAAAATTTTCTGATTGAAATCAGTCTTCTCATTTCTAGTCAGCCACAGCCATCAAAGATAGTAGGCACTAATAGACACCAACGTCCAGCCTTGTCACCCAAAAGCAGCCCGCCTCATGGGTGTTATAAGCTTCTGTAATGCCATGTTTGAAGCTTCCAAAGCACCACAAAGTTACTCTGGAGAGCTCAAATGCCGTTCATTTATCATCGGAAATGGATTTGCAGTGTCAGAAAAACAATAATGACATGTCGTTATAGGACAGTCGTGGAATTCATTTGGCTAAGGCAGATTGATTGTATCTTTTAATGGTATTCATGAAACCATCTATCACGAGTTTAGTACATGGGAACGTATCAGTAATTTACGTAATGATTTGGTAACCTTTCTTCTCGAGATCGTCAGCTCCAGCAGTCTGAAAACACCAACAGGAAGCACTCATGCCCGCCTCTTACTGTGACTTGCTCTTCTCCAGTGAGACAGGGCAGACTGCGACCGACGACGGTTGCGTGAGGGATCAGCTTTGGGAAAAGCCGAGCGGCCATGGGATGGTCGCAAACAAGCAGCATCATCATGTGGACGGCGATGTCTGGCCGCCTAATATTAACCAGCAGCCCTTGCAAATTGCCAGTGCTGTGGCTCAAGATGCAACAACACATCAACAAGGTGGATGTGTCAGCAGCACAAATCATGGAAGCAGATGAACCTGATGGTCGGTGTCAACATCAGGTGAAGAATAAAGGAGCACACAGATAGGCCAAACGAAACAGGACCACCAACCCACCCAGTCCATGTGATAGTGTCATGAGCTCCAAGTTGGGATATAGTTGAGTCAGCCTGCAGTAGCTGGAGTTCTTGCTGTGAACTCCATGAATTCATGCTTCACTCGAAGCAATACATTTCATAGAACCATGTTCAATAGCAAAATAAATCCCCTCCCCCCCCCCCCAAAAAAAAAAAAATCTAAAAGTTGCATGGGGTTTGATTTTAGATAAAGCCAGAAACACAAACATAGTTTTCTTCTAAATATCATAAACGCAAATATGTATGTAGAGTCTTTTCCTCCAACCACTTATTCCGGACATTCATGCAAGATTTCGAACATTCCTTCATACATTACAGAAACTACACATGCAACAGTACTAGTCGTGGACATTTGAACATAAACTGAGGAAGAAAATGAAGCAGCAGCAGCAGCACGCAGGAGCGAAGGTTGTACTCATCCACGTTACATTTGGTCCCACTCCCACCATGGCAGGTGGGCCTCCTCCTCCTGGTGTTGTAATTCCATGAACATGGCATCAGGGTAATAGCTGCATCCCTCGTCGCTCAAATCGTCGTCCTCGGTGCGGATGCCACAGGCGACCAGCCCCACACCGTGGTAGGTCTCCGGGAGGTAAGACTGCCGGCTGCTCTCCTCCGGGTGGTTAGTGCCCTCCGCTTCGACCACCACTGTGCTCCCGCCACTCCCGGTGCTCAACTCCACAGTCTGCTGGATGTTCGGGGCCATCAGATCAGCACTTGAAGCCGCCTGCTCATGCTGCACTACCCCAGTGACCTCGGATGCACCCTGCTCCTTCGCTTGTAGCTGTTCGATCAGTGAGTTCACCTGCAAGAGATGTTGTCTAGTTAAATCTCACCCGTAAATTAGCGGAAAAAGAACACGCTTTAAACTGCTTTTTCCGCTAATTAATTCAGCTAATAATAGGCAAAGGAGATGAGAGATGATTATCTATCTAAGCTATTTGCAAGATTACAATCTCTTAATGAATGACATCAAGTTTCATGCGCGACCTTATGAATAATGGGAGTCCCTCCATGTCTTTTCGGGATTCCACTCACATTCATGCTGGAATCTGACTTAGTAACCATTGAGCTTCATGTCAACTCATGGTGACGTTCACCAGAGGTTCATGAACATTGTTGACTTATTTTCATATGATTTCCGTACATCTGTAGCACTTTGATAGCTCTACAATCGTGTATTTATTTTGCTAGTGGAGTCAGCACAACAGCCGTCCAGATAATATTTTATGCATGCAAAAGACATGAAACACAGGCTATAAGTTGAAATCTTAAGGACATTTCCGTCACTTTGGACGACCAACTGCGCCAACCGATGAAAACACGAAATGTCTATAAGCATTATAGTTTCCAAAGACTCCAGATTGGTTGACCTAATTAGAGTGCATGAGTGGTAGAACATAGTTTAATTATATAGCAATAAAGTATGTACACAAATTGCATTACCTAAAGCAAATTGTCAGATTGAGGTGACCGGTGTCGAGGATATGGGGAGAGAGAGAGAGAGAGTACCTGCGACCGCAGGCGGTCGTTGTCCTTGAGGAGGGCATCGTGATTGGCGAGGAGAGCGTCGTAAGAGGATCTGAGCTGATCGAACTCGCGCTCGAGCTGCTTGTTCTTCCATCGAGCACGCCGGTTCTGGAACCAGACCGCCACCTGCCTCGGTTGCAATCCTAGTTTTCGAGCTAGCTCGCTCTTTCGCTCAGGCTCCAGCTTGTTGTCCTCCTCGAAGCTCCGCTCCAATAAATGTATCTTTTTTACTCCAAAAACTCATGGTTACCATCCCTCGATAAATCAATCAACATGAATATATGCATGAAATTTTGAAGGATTACAATAACAGTTTATGTTCGTAGAAGACTTAAAAGCAACACAGATCGTAGAAATATGATGCCATAAGCTAAATATTTTGAGACACTAATGTATAAATTGCTTGTGATCTAATTTTTCCTTTCCACTTTGACCAAGCAAAAAAGACCCCTTTTTTTTTTTACTCAGCTATTTTGCACAACAAATCATTTTGTCCCATTCTTTTGGTTTCTTTTTTGTTTTGATTCTCTAATAGTTATGATGATAACGAAGAGAATCTTAAGAACGCACACGAGTGTTGAAAATAAGAGCTACGCTTTACCTACCATTTCAGAGTTTAATTCTCTAACACACACCTGCTTTATGATTAGGGTTAGTAATGAGATCGGTCGAAGGACAAAAGGAAAGCGACAAATCTGGAATTTGGTGATTTGAGAAGGGGCGATCGGTAAAAGAATTTCTAGGGAAAATCACCCTAAAATACTAGTAATGATCATTCTGGGAAGAAGAATTACCTGTTCAAGCGTGAGGCGGCGCTTCTTCTCCGGCAGCTGTTCCTCGTAGTACTCCTCATAAATCTCATCCGGGGAGGTGAAGAACGGCCGCCGCTTGCTCGCACCGCCATCCTCCCCAGCCACCACCGACCTCACACCTTCAGTTCCACCCCAAAAGATTTACCAAGCCAGAATCAAAGCCGGACCAAAATAGCGGCAAGCGAGGTAGTACCTTGAAAGATGGGACTCCCGCCGCCCAAGACGAGCAGGCGGCCGCGGGAGGACGAGGACGAAGAGGAATCAAAGATCAGACAGCTAGAACCCATCCCTTGGTCTTAGATCGGATCGATCGACGGTCAGATCTGGATTCGACGGGTATGTATGTGTCTGTCTAGGTACTCGCTTCTAGATATGAGTGTCTATGTGCTCTTTCTGTCTCCCTTGGATGTCGATCTGGATCGATCGATCGATCGAAGGGGATTCCCTGCGGGAGCTTAAAAGAAGAAGAAGGCGAGGATGAAGATGGTCTTATGGCGGAAGAAGCTGGTGCTCCAGAGAAGGCGCGTCGACGTCTTCATGGGGTAGAGGGAAAACCCCATCATGCAGGTCGGGGTTGCGGGGACCTCAGGCCAGCAGCAGAAGAAGTAGAACCCTCACCACCACCTTCCGGCGGAGGCCCGCCGGAGACCGCCTCAGAGCCCGGCGAAGACGGAGAGACGCCGGGAGAGAGAACAAAGTCGCTCCAAGGAGGGAGTTTCCGAGAGGGTGTCGTCGCCGGAGCTCGAGATTCCGGCGGAGGAGGACTTGGCGGTGGGGTGTGGATTTGTCGCTAATATTGCGTGGTTTATTTGGAGGGCTAAAGCTTGGGGATTTGGAGGGGCGGGCATTTTATAGCGAGAAATTTTTTTGCCGAATGGACGAAAATGCCCCTAGGCAAAGCAAAGCAAAATAGATAAATAACAAAAAATTACTCAGGAGAAAAATTAAAGTATTGGATTGGGTGGATACATATTTTTTATTAGTTAGAAAAAAAATCATAAATAGATTTTTATTTGGAAAATTACTGTGGGACGTCTTTATTTCATGACTCGTTCTCCAACTAATTGGACGCTATTAATTTGGTAAAGTGCTAAGGGTGACCTAACCAACGTTGATAAGTAATGATAATATAATAGGCAATGGCATGATTAGACTTACGATTTCTTTATTGGGAGATTATTTTGAATCTATGGTGCTGGGCCATTTTTAAATTAGGTCCTGTAAGGTTGTAATCCATGTGATAGATTTTGTATATAACTCAGATTAGATCCACTTGGATTTATATATATATATATATATATATATATATATATATATATATATATATATATATATATAAAATAAAATAGGCATTCTTATCGTCGCCATCCACTTAAATTATTTGTATCATAAAAATAATCTTTAGAAAATATATGGTTTCTAAAGAAGAGTGTATTCCTTAATTTAAGATCATAAATAAAGGAATCTTTTTGCTTTGTGGTCGCTCAACTCCAAATGCCCCCAAACCGCATGGTGAAAGGATGAGATCGACCCGATGATCCGTTAATTGGGGTTGCATATGACGCTCCAAGTGACCAAACCTCGGGATGTAAAAGGCATCCATCATCGGGTGATGTCAAATCAACACGATTATTTGGCACTTGATTGATTGGCTTTCTCTTCCGGAGACTGCCAGATCCATCCAACCCACATCTCCTCAGCAACCACGTGGAGCTGCTTCCGTTGGTCCTCGCTCACCTTATCTTCCGACCCTTCATTCAATTCCTCTCTCGTATAGTGAGTGATTGATAGTCTTACATAACATAGTTTTTACCCGTCGTTATAATAATTCTTCTATAATCAACCATCTGTGTTGAACTAAATTGGGACATCGTAAATTATCATCATCTTTACTCTTGGAGATGCCACGCACTGTTGGATTAATATGACTACAGAAAGGTTCACCCGTCATATCTAATATCTCGATCATCACATCGCATGGATGAACAAGACATCATAGTATAGTTAAAACTCTCATCCTTCCTACTACCCATACGAAAGGGACTTGGGGCGGGGTAGGATGTCTCATGCGCAACACATCATCGATCAAATGAGTATTCCTATTTTTTATATTTCCGTACAGTGGATTACATGACAGATAAAATTAAGCATAGGTGAGATGAGCGAAGGATCAAAATCGTTTCCGACCCAAACCCACCACGAGAGGCCAAACAAACAAAGAAAGAGTTCCGAGTGTGACGTGCTCGGGGAAGGAGACAACGTCAAGGGTACAAAAAGTAAATCTAACCGCGGGGGGCGGGGGTCCGTCGTCCATCCGACACGCGACAAGTGTCCACCAATCCCCATCCCCATGCCCCCCCGACGGATTGCGACTTGCAAACATCCAGGGAGGTCGATGGCTTCCATGTCGACGCCGCATCGACCGTCGGATCTCGATCCGATGGTCCATGTTGATGATGTGAGAGGAACTAGAAGACACTGACATGTTGTGCATGCGCGCTCGTTGGGGTCACAAAAATAGAACATGTGGTTGTCACGCTGCCGCACATCAGTTTGGGCATGGCAAGTTAATATCGATCGATGGGGAATAATGCAAATGTAAATTAATTTCATGTGAAAAAGAGTTATGTAGTCCACAGCTTGGATGCATCAAAGAAGAATGTAGGGAATTCCATTCGGCATCCTCTTTTGAATCCGTGAAAGAGATGGTGATTGGTAGGTAAGGCTTGCTGCTCAGTACACGGCTGCTCATATCCTTTGTTGTATTTTGTCTTCTTATCATAACGAGTCAATGGTTGCGTTTTGCATCTAACTCAATTAAGCTGAAGCCGATTGGATTTTTAGACTTTTGATTTTTCTATTTCTCTGATCCGATTTTACACGTGTAATACATGATCCCAAAAAAATCAATGCACAAAATCTTAGCTCCATATACATGGAGAAACATTTTTATCTTGTGATCTAAAATATGCTATATATACATACATACATACATATATATACTTATAACAAAATAATTGATGGTATTTATTTGATTATATTTTATAAATATAATATCAATTTATGTAATCTTGTCTCTATACAATTGTATATATATAAGAAAAAGAAAGATGTTATATCTTATGATTTACCATAGCTCCATCAAATCTTATAGTCTATATCGTAGGGTTTGAGGTTCCTTGTCAGAGAATGAACATCAAATTTTTTTGAAAATGAAAACAAAGTAGATTCATGTCTTTACACTTATATTACTTTTAGAAGGGAAAACAAAATGGTAAGAAGAAGGTGATTGGGGGAATAACATAGAGGGAATGCCCAAGTGGTATGTCAGAGGTTGAGTTGTGTAAGTTATGCCCATTAGGTATGATATCATGCTGGTAATATTCGAACCAAATCTTGCATCACTCTGACTAAATGGATTTGTGCTACCTCAGAAAACCACTAGATTTCAGATTCCACACTCGAGCCACATCAAATGACAAGCTCATCTTAACTTCCATAGATTAGAATATCTCAACTTCTGCTGACTACTAAGTTGATTGGATCATCCAATCAGATGAATCAACTCCTCTTATTTTCCAACAGCGGACCTGAAGGCTAAAAAATAAATAAAAAAAATTAAACCAGTGGATAAAAACTATTTAGCTCTTATTACATCATATCCGAGTCTCGGATCTTGTGAAGTCATAAGATCGGGGAGCATGGAAGAGTCTCATCAAGGCAGTGCAGAATCCCTGAACCTTCGTAATGGGGAGAAGGCAAGAGAGAGAGAGAGAGAGAGTCTAGTGGGTCTCCACTCCCACCAACAAAGCTAAAGCTCTGTAGCTTGATGTTTACCAAATCTCATCAACTTCCTTTTGTCGTTACTGTCATTTCCTATAGTTACTTGGAATGGATGCACACAGATCAACATGTCCAATTTGGAGGCTGCACCATTGTGGCTGCTACCTGCAAGCAATCCTGCACATTTGACTTCTCCTGCGGCATCATCAATGCCACAAGTCAACTGGGTTCGTAAGTCTCAGTGCGTGCCTTCTTTATTTTTATTGTTCAACGAATGTGCTGTGAATGTGAAGCAAAGCTATCGACTTTATGTATAGACTTACTGAAGCTCGCATACCATCATATCAATATTTTAATTATAAAATTTAATAAATGAGATTTTGAGATCTCAACATTTGATAAATGGATCGATATATCATCACAATATGTCTACTCGGGATTGATAAATCTACTCGGGATTAAGAATAAAAATGAAAAAAGAAACTAAAAACAAAGTGGCTAAAACTGGATAGAATATATGTTTGGACAGGTGAAGAAGAGTTCACTGATTCCTCCAAATACATCCGACCGATCACCTAATTCTTTCTGGCATGTCAATGCTTTGCACTCGTACTTCAAACAAGTTGTGGCATACAAATTTTGACCACGCAGGCGTTTCAAGTTGCCTCACATGCTTGGCACGGTGGAGATTAACTTTCCACAGAATTGAGTTCGACACAGGCACGCAGATGTCACGACAACAAAAGCCACTTTGTCCAACTCGGTGTCATCTTTTTATGGCTTCACAGCACCCACACCCGCACTCACACCCACAGGATCATCATCTATCTGGTTTTGGATGCATGTCGTACCCAACACATCTTTCCCAGGCCGATCATATCTTTGTTCGTTGTTAGTGGGGAGTTGCAGGAACCACTTATTAGTATTGGTAACAAGAATACCAATGAAAGCTACACCAAAGCTACAGTAATACTACAGTAAAAGAGAAAACCGCAACAGAGGAGAAATGCAGAAGAAAGAGTTCCCTCTTCTTTGCTCTGTAGAGACAAAGGATGTGATGAATGGCAAGCTTCGATGATCGTGGAGCCTTGCTCGTCTGTGGTGAATGACAAACTTCGATGGTCGTGGAGTCTTGCTCGTCTCACCTGCTCTAATACCATATTAGAAAGAATAGAAGATAAAAAGCTTTATTGAAGTCAACAGAATAAAGGATTTCTCTTAACTGGGTTGAGAGATTTCCTCGTATAATTGAAAAAAATTTATCTGATGAATGCTCGGCATATGTTTTGTAATCTTTCTTTAATTCCCGATAGACTCTCTCGAATCGAGGAGTTTTTGCTTTGTAGCAATAAGATTCAGAAAAAGGGTTGGGGTCGCATCGCCTTTGTCACGACGAGGTGACAACCAAAATCGACAATAACAACTTTTACAAAGAGACTACTAAGTTTTAATTTAAAGAAGAGACGTGATAAAGTTTAAAACCATGTTTTTCGGATTGCCTTATCGATTAAGAGTCCACAAAGATAGAATACTTCATCTTCTCTTTGCCGTCTTTGATCAACGCTGCAGAGTGAAAACCAAGTCGTGCGTACGCAAAACAAACTGTGGTCATTCTTTTTCTGTCCCTTGTTTTCTTAGCTACGAAGGTAAGGACTTCGAAGTAGAAGAAGAAGATGATCAGCCAACTTCGATGCAGTTTGATGGAAGGTGCCTATAGCTTTTTAAGAAGAAAAGTGGGTGGGAAGAAAGGGAGGGTGGTGAGCTGAGAAAAGGGTAATGCGATTGCAGGATGGAGCACAAGAACAAGTAGGATGCCTTTGGAGATAAGGTGCGTGTCTGAGAGAGAGAGAAAGAGAGAGAGAGAGAGAGAGAGAGAGAGAGAGAGAGAGAGAGAGAGAGAGAGAGAAAGAGAGGTCGGCGCACGAGCTAGCGCTCCTCCCTCTTCTTCCCATTGCTGCGACCTCCTCAAAGTGCTGCTCGCTGGTGCTTCAGAAAGCTTGAGGACCACCTTCTTTTTCTCTCGAGTGTGAGTG